TTGTTTATGATATGATGTTGCATTGCTATATATGTTTCTTCTACATTAAGAGTTCCATTTGGAAGTAGTGTCAAGCTGAGCTTGTATGGAAAAGTTTAATTAAAAAAAAAGTGTATGCTTGTGTGTCTGTGTGTGGTTTATTATAGACATAAAAAATCTTCAAAGGCTGAAACTACATCAAGAAATATCTGCATTTTGGTTTTCCAATTTGTGAAGTTAATTTTTAGTTTCTTCTTATTCAGCTATGCTCTTAACCTTGTGGTCGTGGGATCAAGTCCCACTGAGGACAATTCATAACGGAAGTCTTCCACGGAAGTTGCTCTGAACCTAGCGTTGGGGCAGCCTACTACCTACCTCCCCCTTACCCCATTACATATGGGAATAGGGTCAGCTAATTTTTTTATTCAGCTATGCCTTGTTCAAGATGCTTGATGATTTAATACTTCTAGCCAAAGGTGGTCTGGTTGCATATCTTGGACCTGTGAAGAAGCTTGAAGAATACTTTTCCAGCATAGGGATCGACGTACCTGACCGTGTCAATCCTCCGGACCGCTTAATTGACATTCTGGAAGGGATTGAGAAGCCAGCAACAGTGACCCGTGAACAGCTTCCCGTCCGATGGATGCTACACAATGGCTACCCAGTACCCGTAGATATGCTCAATTTGACTGAAGGACTTTCAACACCCTCTGGTTCAAATCCAAATACTTCTGGTGGTGCTGATGGAGGACAATCATTTGTTGCAGACATGCCTGAAGATTCAAAGGGTAGTGTCGAGAAATCTAGAGACTTATCAAACAGAACAACACCGGATATATTTCGCCAGTACAAATACTTCCTTGCCATGTACAAGCCAACATCAATATTCCCATCACATGAATATTTGGCTCATAAATATTACAGTCTACTTTCCAGTTATGGAACCTTCATATGATCTAATCTCTGATTGACCAATCTTGTTCCATAACATGTCATGAGTATTTGTTATTTACCAAACACCTACTTGTAAAAAGATGGTCTCCTTGTAGATTAAACTAGATGATTTATCATATGGAAAAATTTCAGGGTTCTTAAACAGAGACTAAGAGATGGTCAGATTCAAGCCATTGATTTAATGATCCTACAACTTGCAGGAGCCTGCTTAGGAACTCTTGCAAAAGTCAAGGATGAAACACTGGATAACAACGGCTACACATTTTCAGTCATTGCCGTGTGTAAGTTGAAGCAATAAAAGCTTGGCTATAACATACTCGTGTTATCATCGTGTTTCTAACTCCAAATCACCTTCATTCGCAGCACTTTTATCGATGATTGCAGCGTTGAGATCATATTCGTTCGATAAATTACAGTACAAAAGGGAGACGGAAGCCGCGATCAGCCGTCTAGCTCATTTTCTAGCCAAAGACACAATTGATATCTTCAACGTGATTATAAAACCTGTGGCATATTTATCAATGTTCTACTTCTTCAACAATCCAAGATCAAACTTTCAAGATAACTATTTCATACTGATGTGCCTTGTTTACTGTGTCACTGGTATGGCTTACGTATTAGCCATTGCCTTTGCACCTAGTCTGGCCCAACTGGTATGTTATAAAAGCTTCATCATTACATCAACTAATGGAATATTGGCCGTTTTTCTTATTTCTTTCTTTCTGGATTATTATTTTGATTAATGGACATCCTGACTTCTTTCCTCAGTGGGCAGCGCTTGTTCCTGTTGTTTTGACTCTAGTTGCAAACCAGGGAAAAGATAGTATAGTTCAGAAATACTTTGGCAATTTTTGCTACACCAGATGGGCTCTGGAAGCTTTTGTCATTTCAAATGCTGAAAGGTTAATAATGTCTTCCATGCCTTCCAAATACTTTGACAGAGATATATATAATCTTCCAAGTATACGATCTTTCAAAAATTCTCAAATATATAATAAACTTTTGTTCTTGTTTTCTTATACAAATATTTGTATCTGATACTTATATTCGAGTTGAAAGAACATGTTTTTGAGCTTGTTTTGTTATTCAGGTACTCTGGAGCTTGGCTATTAACTCGTTGCAAATCGTTGGAAGGTGGCGGTTATAATCTCCATGACTACCCTCTTTGTTTATTTGTCCTTGTTGTCAATGGCGTTATCGCTCGCATTGTAGCTTTCATCATTCTCGTAACCAGATGAGTTTGGAGAAGAATTCAACTGTTACTCTTTTTTTTTTTTGGTATAAAAAGAAACTCGGCATTAAACAGAAAACAAGGAAGAATTCAGGACTAAAAGTTAGAGCTCGTATCCTGTTGTATTTATATTATTTGTTTGTTTCTTGATTATATATATATATATATATATATATATATATATATATATATATATATAAATTTTGATGTACTAATCATTCATTTCATGATATATATATTTTGATTTTATATTTGTTTGTTTCTTGATTCCCCTGATGTCTTTAGGAATTCATGGTGGAACTTTGATTGATTCACCATGTTTGTTCCATTCCTAATGAGATGAGTAAAAGTTTGTAACATATATATTGTAATCTATAAATTTAATTCAATTGAAAAATATTAACCTCTGTTTTCCCCTGTAAGTAAACACAGTATGATGCTAGAAGCTGGACCAGACCCCATGATGCATTGCTCACGGCATTTAAAGGTTTCCAGTTAGGGCTTGATGCAGTGGGAAAGTAGGGATTAGCAATTTTTTCCCATTTAAACATAATCACAAGGGGTATTAACAAGTAGGGACACAAGAATTTATATTAGGGTGTAAGTTTAAGAAATTATATCAGAAATTTAGGGGTATGAAATTATAAAATATCAGTGGTATGCAATTATAAAATCAATAAAAAATACAAAGAAACACGTAAAATATAAGAGAAATAAAAAATTTTAGGCTTGAACAAATAGAGTTATATTCTTCTTTGTTTATTTATTTTTGGTGTTCAAGTTTAATTCGATTTCGTTTATTTATTTTTGAACGTGTTCATGTTTATATTCATGTTCGGTTCGTGTTCTTTTACTTATTTCTAAAACTGTTCTTGTTTGTTTAGTGTATATTTAATGTTTAATAACCAACACTCTCTTTTTATCCTTTTATTTGCAAGTCAAAGAAAAATGATGAAATTATGTCATTAATCCTTAAATTCTTTGGGCTTCACAATATGATAAACAAGTTAATAAACGGGTTTATAAATGAGCCCATAAATAAATTTGTTCATGAACATAAACAAAACGAATATACTAATTTTTATTTATTTATTTATTAAATGAATATAAAAAATTATTCATATTCATTTATTTAATTTAATAAATTAACATAACGAACTTTAAACGAACGATTCACGAACAATTTATCTAACGTTATATTTATTTACACCTGGAATAACAACTAGTGGTCTTCCACTTATTTGCTGTACCCTGCACATTTTCATAGGCTTAACATAATGATTCAAACTGACATAATCTGCAGTATCTCTCGCAGATTCCCAAGTTTCCAACTTCCTTATTCAACCAAAAAAAAAGTAATCACTGTCCAATTGGACACTCGAAAACAATAATAAACAACTAAAAGAGAAACAAATAAATCAATCAACCATTGAACATTCTGCTAGCGGCAGTGATGGTATTGACATAATAAGAATACAGTAATGGTACTTGAGATTATAGAATCTCCCAATTTTTTGCTAAATATACCAATTGTCATATACTTGATTCTTGTATCGTATTCTTTGCCATTAGAATCAAATGTCTAAACTCTCTATAACGAGTTGAACAAGTACAAAAACTGATTCTTCCTAAAACACCATATCTACTACACCCACACTTGCTCAAATGACCAAAATATATTGACAAAATTTAGTGTCTTCCACATTAAGGAGGACAGAAGTAACTTGTCTAAAAATTCCAAAGCATATTAATATGCATTTGCATCTGATCATCAATAAAAAAAATGTCAATGAACACTGTCAGAAAACTTGGTACGAGCACACGCATGGATAAGGCTTATGATAAGATCATCCTTTCATATGAGAAACAAGATCTCAAAGGCCAAAAGCTTTAGATTGCCAGAAAACATGGAGGAAAGTATATTTCAAAGGGGCAATGCCCCAAAACTTCTTTTAAAATCCAAAACTAGTACCTTTGAACCTGTCCAGCTGCATTGGCAAAACAGCTGCTTCATACATGCTGCTACCCAATAGCCGAACACATTGGAATAATGGAACTCATTGAGGATAATGTTAACTGTTTAAGCGGGCCATCATCGTTAAAGTCTGTTAGATTTATTTATCTAATGTAAACCCCTTAAATATTAATGCACAAAACCAACTTATTGAACTCCACCACACTCCACAACTCGGCGACAGTTACAGGCAACTTTCTATAACCCTCTAAAATTCATCAATACAAACAGGAAATAGGTTAATTTGTTGAACTTGCCTGAAGCTAGGCAATGTTGGATGATTTTATCTCACTTGTCATCACAGCCCAAGCGAAAGCATCATTCTAACTCAGGTTTTACCTCGCTCTAATACATTAGTATATAAACTTAATCTAATATTAGGTAAAATCGTATGCCGCTCCCCAATGATCTGCCCATCACAGCATAAATACAGATGTAACAGCATACCTGCCACTCCAAAATAAGATTCGAAATATAACAGCATCAGCATCATTTGGAGCATGAGAAAAAAACCATTACTATTCTCATTGATACCATCAAGGAACAAGTACTTTGAGGCAGTAAAAAACAATTGATTGCAATAGAATATACACACAAAAAGCAATTTCAGGGGAAATATACAGAAGTAATGTATTGCCTCAAGATAAAAAGTACATGCAATGCATTGGCAGGTTTTTACACCAAACAATGGCAGTATTGCATCAGTATCACAGCAAAAGCAGGAAGACTCAACTTGTTTGAGATAGTTGTCGATATACTCAGTTTACAATCGAAAATTCTTGCAGCAAAAGTAATTCCAGCCCATTTTTTCCAACTTGAGTATCATCTAGGTCCATCAATCAAAACCTCCAATTCCCTCCTCCCATACCTTCTACCCTCTGTATTAGCTTCCCTACACCTCACTACAAAGTAGAATATCAACCAAGCAACCATGAAATACACCTCCAAAGCTGCCTGAACAACAGTGGCGAAAAGCTCCCCACCTATAATGGTCAAAACCCAAGTTGCAAAAGATCCACCTAAGATAGCTTCGTAGCACTTGATTTGTATTGCTTGGCTCAACATTGTTGACAGAAAATAGCATCCTTCTCTAATAATTTCCCTACCCGTTCTTCTCGGATCTTCAATGGCAATCCATGGAGCTAATGAGAATGCAAATAAAACTAAAGTATCTACCAAGAACCATGTAAACAGAAACCCTGAAATCTCCTTCTCGAAAACCCTAGTCCACGGAGACATGACTGAAAAAGGCATCAGCTTTAACCTGACAAAAAGCTTGAAAAAAGAGTAGTGATCCTGAATTTCTCCGAAATACCATAATCCAAGAAGCTGACTCACGGCGTCTCTTACCGCCCATTTCATTAAAATCAAACCGGTGAGCCTTTTCAAACCCATTTTTGACCCGTCCCAAAAAGCCCCCCAAAAAGAAACAAATCTTTCAATCAAAACATTAACAATTGTAACAAAAAGAACACCCAAAACCAAAGAGTAAATAGTTGTAAACCCTAGAATTACCCATCCATACGAAAACGATAATAAGCTGACGAGAAAAAATAGCGTCCCTGCATCTTGATGGCCCAACTCAAATCCATTATAAACGAACTGAAAATCCACAATCCTTTCCTCTTGTTGCTCCTCTTCATTCTTTTCATATTCAAACGACGTAGTCTTGAATTTGACTCCGGGACGAACAATTTCCGGAACCATAATCCCGTTATCCGCCACGAAATGCGAGAACCCCAATTTAGTGTCGAAGTTGGAAAGAATCACCGGCGTGCTATTGATGGCGCGGTTAGGGAAATAACCTGAAAGGTAGCGGTCCGGGTGATCATCGTCGGAAGAAAAGAAATCGTCTTCGAGAGTACCAACACGGGTGAGGTGGAGGAAAGGACGGCGCGCGGGGTGAACACGCGCGTGCGGGTGGGAAGGGTGAAGTTCGAGGCGGGAAAGAAGGGATTTGAAAGCGGGGTCTTTGTCGATAAAGGAAGTGAGGAGGAGGGAACCGGATTCAACCAAAGAACGGAAAGAGAAGAGCAGGAAAGCAAGGAAAAGGAATGTGACAGGGCGGGCGGTGAAATGCACGGCGGTTTGCTTGAGGATCTGGGATGTGGACCGGATTTGGTCGAACCGGTGGTGGTAATCGGTCATGGCAGCTTCCGGTGAGCTCAGATATTATGGGAAGTGAAGCATCGGCGTTGAAACAGATTAAATTATGAAAGGGATTTCCGTTTTTTCTGGTTTTAAATTTCTTTTGGGTTAGTTGGTAATTAAATGGAAAAGAAGTATGAGTTGGAAGATGTCTAGGCCGGGCCCAAACTTGACCTAGTTTGGTTTTTCTATATATATAAAAAAGTTTAAGGTACTTCCGGACAAAAGTAGGTTAACAATATTTTTAAAAATAAAATTTTAATAATGTAATATTAATTGATATATTTTTAAAATATTTTATAAATTTATTTTATTTATAAATAAAACTATATTATTTTATTTGGTGAAGCATCACAACGTTTTTCTCGAAAAATCACCGGTGATCGGTATATTTATCGATCTAACACCGGTCAAATTATATTTTCCAATTTAACACCCGTAGCAGTAAAGTGTGTTCTCTGTCCCGCGCTATATGTTGATTCGGCGCCACATGGGGTATAGCGCATCCCCTGTATCGCACTATACGTTGACATGGCTTACACGTGGGTATAGCGCGCCCTCTGATCCGCGCTATACGCCACGTAGGGGTATAGCGCTGCCCCTGCTCAGCGCTATACTTGGGTATGAATTATATTTAGCGCGAATCATAGTCCGCGCTACACCTTTATCTAAATAATTACATATAGCGCGGTGCAGGTACCGCGCCTTATATGATTATAAATATCACTCACTCCCCGTTAAGTTTCTCACATCTCTCTCCTCTTACTTATAAATTAATACAACAATTTCGTCAACGAGTAATAATTATGGTAATTTTCTCATATTTGATTTAGAAGTTTCTACGATTTTTCGTTATAAATTTTGTTATAATTTTTTTATTATACTTATTGTTTATTATGATAATTTGAAAAAATATTATACTAATTATTTTCAATTAATTTTTGTGTTTGTAAAATTGAAAAACATGAGCATACGTCAAAATAACATACGTCAAAATAGTTTTGCGGTACATGTAATAATATAAAATTAAATTATTTACGTTGATGTGTAAAAAATTTATTGTGTTATATTTTCGTTCATATATAATTTATTTAATCAGGTTTGTCTCAGTTTTTTTTTTTGCAGATATAATATTACCGCACTTTTAAACTCAAATAATGGCACGCCTTTCAACTATTGTTTATTATGATGGTGAAATTCGAGAAGATGAAACCGGCGTTGTTTTCGTATCAAATGAGCGTGTTAAAATATCATTCAAGAGAAACATAACTCTTGAGGAGCTGATAACGAAGATTTCGATGAAGATTCATGTTGGAAGTAGTAGAAGAATGTCGGCGTTGCAGTACAGATTTCAAACATCATTGTTGCCATTAACTTATACAACGTTTGAAATTTCGAACAATGATGATGTTCAAATGATGGTTGAAGCTCAAAGTAATTATTCAGACGTTGCTATTGAGATGTATGCATATTTTGTTTAAGTGCTTGTTGTTCGGGGTTAATCTTTAAGCTCCCACTATGGGCTGACTGAACAAGTTGACAGCCCGACTACAGTAATGTGTAATGATTTTAATGTCATAATGGGGGAGACATTCATCCGCAACTCCTTACGATATGTACCGAGATAGGTCCACGAACAATCCGTATGGCAACACCACGTCCAATTCAAGGGGAAGACATTCATCTGCAAATTTCTTTGACCATATGGAGATGCCATCGACACAACCATCTGTACAGTTTCCATTTGACACGATGGCTTCAAGCTCCAGGGGGAGGCATTCGACTGCGATCTTTTTCGATCTCAATGTCGATATGCCTTCTAGTTCAAGGGGAAGGCGTGCAAGTAGTAGGTTCTTCGACCTAAATGTGGATATCATGGAGGAACTATCATCTCCACCAGAAGAACCGCTTCGTGAGCCTGGTGCGGATGGTGCTGAGACTGGACTATTCATTCACCCAGAATCAGCGCAATTCAACTCCGATTATGATGAAGTTCCAAGAAATGTGGCACAAACTAACCCTCCTGCACACATGTATGAAGCTGATTATGGTGCAATGTACGAGCCAGAATTTGCGAATATGCCTAATCTCGGTGACTATGGATATTACTCATCAATAAATAATGATGAGTTATCTTTAGGCATGGAGTTCTCAAGCAAAGAAGAAGCGGTGATGTCTATAAAAAATTACAATATCCATAATTTTTTTCAGTCAGAGTCAACCGATCCACGACTGAAAAATATGTATGCTACTGTGCCCGACACAAAAACGGATGCAATTGGATGGTTCGCGTATCGAAAAGGAAGAGGAAAAGCAACATATGAGAACTAACAGTATACAACGGTCCTCACACATGTTGTGCTGGAGGGGTCAACCAAGATCATCCCAACTTGGAATCTGAAGTGATATGACAAGCTATCATGCCCATGGTAAAAATAAGCTCTCATATAGTTGTTGCAGTGTTGATTTCAGCTATACAATCGCAGTATGGGTACACTGTTTCCTATAAAAAAAAGCTTGGTTGGCAAAATAAAATGCCATTGTCAAACTTCATGGCGAATGGGATGCATCTTACAACGAACTTCCAGGATGATTTAGACTAGTACGGAGGTTGAATCCTGAGATAATTGTGGATTTCAAAACCTCTTATGCATACCATAATGACCGAGTTCTCCGCGATCGATGCCAATTCTACCGGGTTTTTTTGGAGTTACCCACAGTGCGTTAATGCTGCCAAATACTGCAAGCCTGTGGTCCAGATCGATGGGACTTTCTTGTATGGAAAATACAAGCAAGTTTTATTATTGGCAGTTGTCCAAGATGGCAATCGTAACATTCTTCCAATTGTTTTTGCTCTTGTCGAAGGAGAAGGTACAGATTATTGGGCTTTTTTCCTCCGAAATTTACGAGCACATGTTATCACGAGGGTAAACATCTGTGTCATTTCAGACCGCGGAGCTGGGATCAAAGCAGCAATGGAGTCTTTGGGTCCAATGTGGCAACCACCCTTTGTCCAACATAAGTATTATCTCCGACACATTGCTGCGAACTATCATGGAAGATACAAGAAGAAAGATGAGCGTCAATTAATTGTGCGCATGGGTAAGTGAAACTGATGTAGTTTGTTTTCTTTCAATCGTTTTAATTTTGCAAAGAAAGCAAGTTAGTAAGTTATACATTTTTTGATCAGGTTACGAACTACTTCCTCGAACGTTTGAATCAATGCTTCAAGATTTGCGGGCGAAGAATGAGGAAGGATACGATTACATCAGCCTCATCGATAAAGAAATGTGGACAAACATATATGATGATGAATATCGATATGGACACATGACGACCAACTTAGCAGAGGCAATCAATTCAACTTTAAAGGGTGTACGTCACTTACAAGTAACGGCTTTGGTAAAGACTATATATTTTTGTTTGGGGGCGCTTTTTACGAAGCTCGGGGGACAAGCTCAAAACTGGATGCAAGGCGGCCATGTTTATCACCCTAGATTAGTTGCAGATCTACAGAAAAAAAATTGCTGGATCAAATGGAATGTCTGTAACAAGCTTCTCTAGAAGGCATGAAATGTTTCATGTCACAGAGTTGTCGCGACCTCTTCAAGGGATTGAAGCTGTGTCGTTAAAAGTAAATCTAAGGGACAGAACGTGCGACTGCGGGTTTTTTCAAGCTCTGAAGTATCCATGCTCTCATGTGATAGCAGCTTGCTCACATACACGTCAAGACTATAACCGTTTTATGGATCACGTATACCTACTATCTGAAGTTTTTAAGGTATACGAATTTGAGTTTCCCCCATAGGTAATGAGAAAGACCCTGATGAGGTTCAAGATTGGCTTCCGATTGTACCAAACGTGAGTTTATTGAGGGAGTGTGGTCGTCCAAAATCCAATCGAATTTATTACGATATGGATATTCGAGAAAGATCTAGACAAGACAGAAGATGTGGACATTGTAGAAACCCAGGACACACTAGAAAAACATGTCCACTTCTGTTGCCATCAAGTAACAATTGATGAGGAAATGATGTATTTGTTTATCAAATAATAATTCTTGTACTTTGATTTGCATTTACTTCAAGTTAATGTCATTCGATAATCGCTAATGAAGATTAAAAAAATGAACACAATCATTAAATTTTATCAAACTAATAACAATTTGGTATTTGAATATAATTTTAAATACAACAAACTTACAATAAGAATTAAATGGTAAATGATAACCAAATTACAATAACTGATATTAAATGGTAATAAACAAAATTAACTGAAATACATTAAAAAAAAGTCTAACAAATTTAACAAAATAAAGTAAGTATTAAATGAGAAATAATAAAAAATTACAATTTAACAAAATAAAGTAAATACAAATATAATAAAAAAAATCTATCGATGCCTGCGATGCGAATGTGTTCCGCAGGGCGGTGGCTGTCGCTCTCGAGGAGGATTTCTACGTATCACTGGTTCTGACTCCTCGATGTCATCATCATCAACATCATCGTCGTCGTCGTCCTGAGCAGGTACATTAGGTTGATGAGGAGCTGATGACGATGAAGCACCTCCATAGAATAAGGACCTTGGAGGTGTATGACTGACTATCCCACCGGCCTGCGAAAACTGAGAAAACTCATAAAACCCAGACATCGCTGAGTGTGAAAACTGTACAGGAGGTGTCTGTGCTGCGGCCATAGGTGATGAGGTTGAACTCGCCAGATATCCAGCATATGAGCCCCAAGTCAGATCTGCAAACATAGACCCATAATAGCCTCCAGGAGAGGTCATCTGTGACGGTGACGATGGCGGCGGCGGGGTCATAAAACCAGTTGAAGGCGGCGGCGGTGACATCTGGTAATGGAAAGGCAGCGGCATCATATATGGCAGCGGCATCATAAATGGCTGCAGTGGCTGCTGTGAAGGTCCTGTTGGTGCAGCTGAGGATGAACCGGAAGCACCTGCTCTCCGTCCACGACTGAATGATCCGGCCAGACGAAAGT